TACATAAATAAATAAGTAAGTAAGTAAGTAAGTTATAAAGCAAATATTGGCAAGCTGTGGCCCACAGGTCACACTCAGATGACCACTTACTTTTGTACAGTTTGCAAAATAAAAATTGTGTTTTTGTTGAAATTTAAGTGGGTGGGGGGAAAAATTAAAAAGAATATTTCATAATCTGTGAAATGACATAAAATATCAACTTAACATTAAATAAATAAATACAATGATACCTATGCTGCCATGCTATTTCCCATGGCTCCTTTTGCTCTACAACAGTGAAGGACAGAAGGGCAGAGTTGAGCTGGTGCCACAAATGGACCACAAAGTCAAAAACCGTAAGTCATGAGAATCTGGCCATCTGAAAGAAGGCTTGGCAACCTCTGATATACAGCATATAGGAATGAGGTTGAATAGAGTATTCAGGTTTGAGATCAGAGAAATGTCATTAGTATATGATATAGGCTTTAATGAACAAATAGTTGCTGATGTAGAGAAAGTTTCAACTCATGGTGACCCTCTTTTGGGTTTCTAGGTTGTACATCTTTTATTGTTAGTAATATTTTTATAATTCGTATACATTTGTTTCATCATGCCGTAAATCTTAACAGAGCAGAAAAAAAATGAACAGGGTCACTACGAGTCCGTTTACTTGACACTACCTAACAAACAAAAGGAAAGGATTTTAGCATAGAGAAAGATCTAAGAAAGGCTCAAAAACAGAACTGTGTAAGATCTGTTTTGAAATGAAGAAATAATTATTAGATGATAGAAGAGTAGAGAGAAAAAGAGATCAGAATGTTTTGAATTTTGAGCCAAAGTAATTTTAAAACAGTAATACAATTAACAAAGGAAAGGAAATCAGAGGAAGGAAGAGGATCAAGGATAATACCTGGGAACATGAAGCTAGCAGAGAATCCAAATGACTAGATCCAGGAAGTCATTGAAAATACACTCTCTGCATCTTTGCAGAAATGGCATGAGTAGAAACAAAGAGCTGGGAACAAGTCATATAAAGATAAAAGAGTAGTGGCAGAAAACATTTCTTAGGGAAAGACTATAGGAGAGTAAAGAAGAAAAGTCTGTCAAATCTTTACATTTAAAAGAAAAATAAATTACCACAGATAAGGAAATAATCAAAGAAGAGAAGGTGATCGAGAGGATTATAACAAATGTGAGAAAAAGCAAACACAGAAAAATCATGATCGACAACAACTTTTAAAAAAAAAGATTATTTTTTAAAAGTAGAAGAATCCTAAACTTCTTTCTAGAACAAGAGATTAACTCAGTAGACTGATAATAAATACAAGAGGAGAGAGAAAGAATTACCTTTTGGAGGAGACTGAGTGATGGTTTGACAGCAGAGATGAGAAGGAAGTGGGTTACTGTTGCATAAAGGCGAGCCAGAACTGACCCTGTAGTGGGTTTTCAGAGGCAGTAAATCACACAGGAGATTGCTCTTCTTTCTCCTATGGAGCAGCTGGTAGATTCAAACTGTATACTTTGAGTTTGCCAGCTCAACTCTTACCAGAAGGCCATCAGAGGTCCTCCAGTGGGTATTAACTACCTCTGAAATCTAAGGAAATGTAGATCAGTAAGGAGACTTTTGGGTAAAGAATGCAGAAGTTAATAGGTTGATAGATCTCAAGGTAGAGGGGCTCAACAAACTTAGTAAAGCAGAAAGGCTGGGAATAAAACAAAGAGAAAGAGAAAGGAACTTGAGGAAGAGAGAAAAGTTTAAAATAATCCTGCTAAATTAGAGAGTGCAGGGGGACAAAAGAAGGCAGTAGTAAATAAGATTTCCCAAGTACAGGATTGAAAGGAGATGAAATTAATTACTGTAACTTTATTTCACAGTAAATTAATATCAATCTGTGATGATCTGGATTAATACAAATTTTTATTTCCTCCAGTTGCATTCTATAATTCAAAAGAGAAGAAAGGAAAGGTTATTAAAACTGAGTAATTTTCCAAATGTTAAGTCACTAACTAAAAAGATTATTGGCTTTTAAGAATATCATCAATTTAAGGGATTAACTGGCTCAAGCTCGGTGAAGAGTTAGGTTTTCAGTGAAGAATAAAAGGGAAAGATCAAAGAATCAGAGGCCACAATGTTAATCAGTATCGATGCAATAAAAATGAGAGCCAAAAAACTAGATAAAAAAGATGTTTACTGTACAAAGTCATATATCTGAGATGTCCATACAGAATGACCGTGTATCTATAGGTTAAAAATTATAACTTTGAAGTCAGCTGTCTTGAATTTAGCACATGCCGTGCAGCAATGTATCTGGTACACACACTAATGTGACAGCTAACAATGCCACTGAGAAGTGAGTAACTTTGAAAGAAATATTTGAATTCAGTACCTGTTATGATATACTACGGCTGTATAGGCTTCCTTTGAAAATTCTGAACAGCTAGATTTACCAAAGATTACCTGTAACAAATAACAGCATGTTGAAACTTTGTTGTAGTAAATGCTAGATGTTTCATTTCTGTGTAAGAATTTGTCCAGTTTACTAACTGCTTGAGAAAAACGGGCAAAATCAGCCGAATGAAGAACACAAGGACAAATGTGCCTTACTGACATTCATTAGTAAGTTCAATGGCTTTACTGGAAAATTTTTATAGACCCATCTGACATTCAAACGTCAAAATATTTTTCAATTACATTTATATCTACTAAGCAAAGGGACCATTTCCTTCCTTTCCCTGTTTTCTAAAAGTAAATTAATTTCTTTTAGAATCTGGATGCAGCATATCATTTGTAATTTGTACAACTATGATTCTAGTACAGTGGCAAAAAAAATCTACAAGTCAGTATCTTTTCTATTACATCAGCAGAGTCATTCTAAAAACGAAATACAAATTACTTCTAAATGATATAAAAAATTAAATTATAAGTCAAGTTATACTATCCTTTGCATCCAACAAACACTGCAGGTTACTCTGGAAATGGAAGGAGATCACTATACTTTCTTCTTATGCATCTGTTATATTTTTTTTTAAATCCAGTATTTTCAGAGACAGTTAAGTGTAAAGATAAAATTAATTCAATCTTGTACCTCTGCCTTCTAAATTCCAGCAGGAAGACTAGTTAATGATTCCTACGTAAGCCTAACTGGCATGCAGTGTTAACCAGTAACTAAGTCTGACCACCTACAAATGTACAAAGAAGCATATGGATCTGTCATCACATTTTCATGAACACACTGGTAAAATAACTCAAAGTGTATACTTTACATAAAGGTTGTAATCTACATCATGTGAAATAAAAAGAACATATGAAAATGTATTTTATTCATCTTTGTGCAACATCTCAAACAAGGCATTATTTTGAAGGTATGCAAAAGTGGAAATAATTAAGATTGTCCTAGTTACTTCTAATTTCATCATTTTGCTAAAATACATTACTTTGTTCTTATGAAATTATAATCCAGTTCCAGGATTACAAGGTTTGCAATTTTATCACACTGACATTATATGATAAAACATTTTCTTAAGACTCATTTGAATGATTTGTAATTTTTTAAGTGCATACACAATGTATCAATGCTTATATACTTTTTCAAACTTTTCACCTAAGCATTAAAGCATAATATTTTCTTATGACTAATAACATATAAGTGAAAGAAACCCCATACTTCCTTCAGCTCCCCATCTGGAAAGCTATCTCTTTCACCAAACTACTTTTTTAATTTATGTAAGATGAGTGATAAACAATTAAGAAGTGTTCCTTTTTTACTACTTGGCAAACATTTTGAATTATTCAACACAGACTAAGCTTCATTTATGTGCCGAGTACTGTGACAGGTGCCATGAGTCCTATCCCCAAAGAGAATAGTCTAGTGAGTAAAATGAAGAAATATATAATCACAAAGTGATGAGGCCCATAGGAGAAGTGAGGCTGGGACACTGGCCAGACAAAATGGGTGCAGGGAGTGTGAAATGTGCTTGACTCTGTAGAGGCAGCAATAAATAAAGTTAAGTAAGAGTTAAGCAAATAAAAATAGTATTTTGCTTATACAACGTCTGTCATAAGTTAAAATTCACAAAACAATTCACATATAGTTAGATGAAACATCAATTTTCACAATCCAGTATTTTTCAGCAACTATTTTAGGCCACTCATTCATTCAGCAGAAATAAAAAGCTGTTAAAGAGTGTAAAAAGTCAGTTCCAAACTTCAAAAATTATTTATACATTCATTAAATTATTTATTCATCATATATTATAAGAAATTATCTAAAACAAAATAACTGCTTTAGGAGAATACAAAGATAAATAATTTGTGCTCACTGTTATGGAAATCTATTAAAGCTGATGAAACTAAGGCAGTAAGGAATAAAAAAAATCTATTTTCTTAGTAAGCAGAAAAGCAGAAGACCTTAATGAAAATAACTGACACTTCCAAGCTCATCTATATTCCACAAAATTTAAGTGTATTAATATCCAGCATATCCTATATGACAACGTGACAACGTGGGCAGTCAAGAGTCTTCCCAGCCTGGCTCCTGTTAATTTTTCACTTAACTTTTACGGCTTAAGGATCTCTTGTGCCTCATCACTAATCATCTACATGAACTTTCTATCACTTAACAATGTTTTCCTTCCTGACCCACTGCCACAGACATTTTAACCACCTTTCATGTTTCATCCTAGATATACCTCTTCCACATAATATTTTCTTGTTTCTATAGTGCAAAGACCTACGGCTGTAACTTCTCAACCCAGATGGGAAGTTAGACACTAAAAATCATGAAGGGCTCATTTCTTTACTATAACATAATCTCATATACCACCCATCATCTCTCCCACCTTTCTTACCTGTACCTTCATTTTAAAGAAAAATAACACTAATTAGCAATACAGATGCCAAAAGTAGGAAAAAGGTATCTTCATTAAAGTTCTCTAAGCTCTTCTAGTCAGACTTTCTTTAACAAGCCACTCTTTAAGAATTATTTATGTTTGTTTTACAATTCCTAAATTACATGTTTTATTAATCTTTGCATTTTGGAATGGCCTAATATTATCAAGTCCTCAGAAAAAGACTAACAATAAATGAACTCATAATTATCTCTATAAAAAGTAATATATTAAGGAATTATTTTTTTCTATAATTATATTTTATTAATTTTCATAAACATTTACAGAGATTTTGGGTTTCCATTCATTCATTGTTGCACTTATATTAAGGAATTCTGTTTGAAGTTATCATATTATTTGCAAGTTTGGAACTTTCAGTCAAAGAAACAAATCTACTTGAGTCATCTATAAGGTAGAACAAAAGTAACGACCATTTCTTACCGGCATGGCATTGCTTGAATCCTCCCCATACATGAACTGGACTTTGACTGTTATATTTCTGGCAGAACCCTGACGGTTGGCAAAATTCAGACTCTGAGGGTATATGTAGAGAAGATTTCTGTGAAGGCAACAGTATAAATGATGGTGAGAATACAAGTTAAAATACTACATATCCCAAAATGAATAATGAACAAAATAAAAATCAACAAATAATGAATTATTAATATTTCTCAGCCACAAAATAGGTACAGAGCTTGGGTAACACAGTAAATTAAGTAAATAACTGGACTGCTAATCAAAAGGTTGGCAGTTTAGATTCACCAGCTTCTCTATGGGAGAAAGATGGGGCAGTCTACATACAAAAAAATCTAAAGCTTTGGAAACCTGAAGCAAGAGTTTAACTCAGCCCTATGAAGGAGGCTGGTGGCCTAGTGGCAAGAAGGTGCACTGTAATCTCGAATGCCCAAGATTCAAGGCCAGCACAGGCTTCAAAGGCCACCATATGCTCTGCAGGAAGATGGGCAATCTCCCCCTGTGTCTCTGAAAACCCAATGGATGGTCAGCTATGGGTTGGTTCACAACAGCAATGGGGTCATTATCAGCTGATACTTACTTGATGGCAGTGGGTTGGGTTTGTGTTGGACAAGAATCTTTGTACATATGGTTTCACTGTAGCCATACAGCAATTACCCAAATATATTTCAGTTGTGCAGATTAATTAATAGCCAAAAAATTGAATGATTTTCATAAACATCTATGTAGTAGAGTTACAATCTGACCAGTTAAAAAAATCATGTTCTTTCCAAAAGACCTTTTTTTTTTTTAAATTTTTTTTTTTTAAGAAACGTTTGGTGGCTCTATATTTGATCCTCTCCAATAGACTTCTTTTTTTTCCCCAATAGACTTTTAAAAACAAAATAAGACACAATGGTTAACAAATGGCTTAACCATGCTCCCTTGCTCTGGTCAACATCTGCTTCTTGGCCTAAGTAAAGGTTTCTCATGACAATAGTTAAGTGTTCCTATTCTTCTCAATCTGGAAGCAGGAGTGGCATCCACTTCCAAAATAGCCTGCCTCCGGAAACTCTGTGTACAAACAGTGCTCAGGCTGTTCGTTCACAGGGTCACTATGAGTCGTCTACGACTCGACGGCACTAAACAACAACATCCTTCTCAATGTTACCTGTAACTTTTTAGGATCCACACATTCATATAAAAGATTATGGAGCCATTAAAAAGAACACAGTAAATCAACAAATACTATGTTGTTATCTTTGTTAGGTGCCATCATATTAGTATGCCCCATAGCAACCTTCTGAACAAAAATCTGAAACCAGCCTTGTCCTGAGTCATCCTCACACTTCCTGACACACAAGAGCCCATTACAGCAGCCACTTTGTCAATCCATCTGGTTGAGGGCCTTCCTCTCCTTACCCGACCCTCCACCCTTCCCAGCATTACGTCCCTCACTAAGGAATAGCACCTCCTTGCGATATGTCCAAAGTATGTTAGGCAAAGCTTCATCATTCTTGCCTCCAAAGAGCACTCTGGCTGCACCCTCTCCAAGACATAGCTATTCATTTCCTTGGTCATCCATGGAACGTTCAGTGCTCTTCTCCAATACCACAGCTCAAAGGCATCAATTCTTTTTCTGTTATCCTTATTCATTGTCCAGGTCTCAGATGCATAGCTAGTAATCAGAAAGACCATGGCCTGAATCAGATGCACCTTAATCCTCAAACTGACATCACTACTCCTCAATAATTTGGAAAGGTCCCTAACTGCAGATTTTCCCATTGCAATGCATCTCCTTATTTCCTGACTGCTGGTACGAAGGTGTTAATTGTGGATCCAAGCAAGATGAAGCTGTTGATTTACTCATTGCAAATACTTTTCCCTAAAAGACACAAAGGACGTCTTTACATGTGGATTTCATCTGATGGACTGCACAGGAATGAGACTGACTACATTTGTAGAAGAAATTATTAGAAAGCTCAATACCAGCAGTCAAAACTAGGCCAGAGGCAGACTGTAGGTCAGATCACCAATAAGAAATACTATAGAAACATTTAAAATTAAGGTCTTAAAATATATTGTTATCTATTTTTTGTTATTCTTAGATATCAAATATGACGCTCACTTACTCTGTGAACAATAGATCTGAACCCTGTCCTATCCTGAGTCATCCTCCTACCTCCCACACATTTAAGCTGCAGTCACTATGTTAAGCCATCTCATTGAGGGTCTTCTTCTCCTTTGCTGACTTGCCACTTTTCCAAGCATCTCTTTCCAAGGAATAACGTCTAGTCATAATATCCCCAAAATATGTGAGAAAAAGTTTCACCATCCTTGCCTCCAAGGATCCAGGGTGTATGTGTATTGTGTGTGTGTGTGTAATGTGTTAAACACTCACTTGTATAAAATTTGTGTTTAGTCAGTCATTAGTGGTTTCTAGTATAGAAATCCAAATTATTATTAGTGAAGAGTCAAAATATTTTTAATTCTTTCTTGCAATATGTGATTCTACACAATAAGTATTTTCAATATTTAAAAAATTAACATTATCATAAAAAATTAAATAAATTAGTAAAATTCATCTTTCAAAGTTCATTCATATCCTGACGAGTAAGATAGACTAACGAGACTATTAAAAACTTAAAACATGCTTAGCTTGAAATGAGATGTGTTATAAATACAAAATAACAACATTTTTAATACTTAGTATAAAAAATACAAAATATCAAGGTGTTAATTTTCTATATATTACATGCTAAAATGACAATTCAAATCATGCTAAGTGCTAACTATGGAACAGACCATCAACTGTTGTTGTTGTTGTTGTTGTTAATGTGTGATGTTGAGTTGCTTGTGCGTCATAGTGACACTATGCACAATAGCTTTGAAATCTGACCCATTCTGAGCCAATCTCACTGTCACTGACACATCTGCCTCCAAATGCCCCAGTTATAGTGCCAATCCATCGCATCCAGGGTCTTCCTCATCTGTGCTGTCCCTCCACCCCTCCAAGCATCACGTCCTTCTTGAAGGACCGATCCAGTCAGGCAACATGTCCAAAGTATGTGAGATGGAGTCTCTTTGCTCTCGTGGCAGTCCACAGGAGGTTCCTCTTCTACAACTCAAAAGCATCAATTCTATCATCCTTAGTCATTGTCCAGCAATTTGATGCATAGTAATTAATTGCGAAGACCATGACCTGGATCAGGGAAAATTAGTTTCTAGACTGATATCTTTGAACACTCTGAAGAAGTCCCTGAAAGCAGATTTTCCTAATGCAATTTGTCTTTTGATTTCTTGACTGCTGGTGCCAAAAGTGTGGATGGTGGAATCAAATAAGCTGAAGTTGTTAACAATCTCAATCTCTTTTCCATCTTCATGATGCTATCAATTAGCCCAGTGGTAAGAATCTTTGTTTTCTTGATGTTGAGCTTCAACCCACACTGGAAACTGTGGTCCTTGACCTTTTGGAGCAAACACTTCATGTCTTCATCTGTTTGGGCAAGCAAGGTTGTGTCACCTGCATAATTCAGGTTGTTGATAAGTCTTCCTCCAATTCTGATGCCACATTCCTCCTCATAAAAGGTAGCCTTCTAAATGATCTGTTCCACATGTTGTTGTTGTTATGTGCTGTCGAGTCGCTTGCGACTCATAGCGACCCTATGTACAACAGCCCTAAACTCCGCTCTGTCCTGTGCTAATCGCACTGTCTCTGACACGCCCA